CCTAACCCTAACCCTAACCCTAACCCTAACCCTAACCCTAACCCTAACCCTAACCCTAACCCTAACCCTAACCCTAACCCTAACCCTAACCCTAACCCTAATACGTCGTTTCTTGTCTAAGCCTAAGGGGTGTCCGACCACTATAACCGTCACGCACTTGGTAGGAACCTCGCTATCATCCAAAATTCGCCAACTTTAATGCCACCCCCTAACTTAACCACATGGGCTACAATTTTGTAAAGCATATTATTAGAAAGCCCAAGTCGGGCTCTATCTTTTCAAGCTCGTATCATACTACTATCGCCCTGTTTAATCTCAACCGCTCAGTGGTTATCTTGGTATATAAGCGGAGTCTTCCGGGCTCCCTGCCTTCCTCCGCACTTATACCACCGTTACGGCATAACTAGTCCGGGCCATTACTCCTTGATATCGTTGAGATAGAGCCACACTGATGAACCATCTCGGTCGATGCACCTCGGATCTTGTGCAGCCTTCTTCCACACCTCGATTGCCGCATCGGCCATCGTGGGTGTAATACCGACCTTTTTCGCTGCGTCCACTCCCAGGCCAATATCTTTAGGCATCATTTGGGTTTTGAACCCCAGTTTCCAATTGTTGCTGCTCGGCGCATGAGCAACAGTCCCAGGAGCCGGATTGACATGGTCGCACATGAAACTCTGGCCAGACGAGTTGCGAATAACCTCGTATAGCAATTTAGGTTCAATGCCGTTCCTAATACCAATGGCCATCGCTTCAGCTATTACCAGTAATGACGTACAGGAGATATAGTTATTACTGATTTTGGCCGCCAAACCACATCCAAGTTTGTTACACCAGAAGAGCTTTTTTGGCTCGCCAAGCATGGTGAGGACGTTTTTGATTCTTGAGGGGATGGACCCAGAAGGTTCATTATCGGTGGGCGCCACGCTGCCAATCATGAAAGAAAGAGTACCTGCTTCAGCAGCGGGAACACCACCCTGCCAGTGTTAATCGTGACAGAAGTCCGGGCTGGAGTGGAGAGACGCACGGAAAGAGGAGCATCGATATAGTAGCCATGGCCGGATGCTTGCAATGCTTCACCAACCTCGCGTGTGGACTCGGAGCTTATGGTACTGCATTCGATAATTATACGGTTGGAATCTGCCGGCGCCGCGACCAAGCCAGAGTTTGGGTCGAGGTAGATTTGCCGAACGTTTTCTGCGGTTGGAACTATGGATATAATGAACCTGGAATTCGCAGCTGCATGTTTGGCAGAGTCGGCGATCACGATGGTGCCGAGCTTCCAATGCTCAGATGCGAAACGCTCGCACGAAGGTCGATATACATCGTACACATATAGAGCTGCAGAGGACGGCATCTTTCGGCGTAGGTTGCTTGCCATGGCATATCCCATGGCTCCTAGGCCTAACGCGTATCGTTAGTTGAGCAAAGGCGCATCGCAATATGGACAAACCTATAAAAGCATAGTTTTCGGTCATCTTGCCTTTCAAATGGAATCGCGAGCAGGAGTACCAAGGCACTGACTCAATGAAGAAAGAATATCAAAGAGGAAACAAGAGAGCGATTCTGGCTGTAACCTTCTTTGATCTACTTGGTTCTCGACGGAGGCAGTCCTAGTGGGACGCAGTCAACAGTTGGTGGGGATCGGGATTTCTCTGTTGATAAGGTGGAGGTCCCCATCTGTCTCCGGACCCGACCCCCTCCACATTCAGCGCTTTGCAAGATCCACAAGTCAATGAATCGACCCACCAAAGTGACTAAGCTATAGTCCTCTGCGAGGCTTATTTAGATATCTACGAGTAGTTACTATTCGTACGGAAACTTACACTTTGTGAAGTGGACCTGGATCGCTCAACTGCCACAGTCCCGTCGCGATGTCAACTGAGAATGATTCCCACAACACCAGGTGTGCTCCTTTACCCGAAACGAATTCTTTTGTTGACCTACAAATCTTCGACGGCGGAAGTTTCACTGCCAATGAAAGCAGGATCATGGCTGGAAAGAGTGACCGCTACTTCCAGGTACCAGATTGGGCATTTCTAGTCAAGGATTGCGATACTGGTCGACTATTGCTGTGGGACTATGGACTATCTGGTGTAAGGCTCCTATTGTATGGAAGACAAGTGCTAGCTTTGACAGAAATTCGCATAGGATGCAGACGAATTCACCCCGTTCGTCCGACAAAACCTGCTTGAAGAGCTACAGCCATGCTCGCCCCGGAAGTCAGTGGCCGAACAGATCGCTGAAAAAGACGAGAAGCAATTATCAGCAAAGGGGCTTGGGACTATTATCTTCAGGTAAGCATGCCATTCCAGTCGGTGAGCTACTACCAAGTACTGAGGAGCATAGTCACGCGCACTGGGACCACTGTCGACCGTTCTGGAAGGACTTTCCCATAGCGAAAGCGTTCTTTGGTCCCGGAACACTGGCTCACTGTACTCCGGGCCACTTAGAGAATCCCTCCAGTCAGTGGGATGGTCGAATATTCGATGAGGACGAGGGACTTCGTAGATGCCAAGAGTTGGCCGGGCCCTGGGTTCAATTTGGTCCGTTCGAACGCGCCATGGACTTCTTCGGCAATGGTAGCTTCTGGGTAATACAAGCTCCTGGACACATGCCCGGCAACCTCATTGCTGCTGCGCGGTTGCGCATTGGTACTTGGGTTGTTATGGCTGGTGATTGTTGTCATGCAAGGTCTGAATGCCAGAAATTGTATAATTGTGCGAAATTGACCATATATCAGGCAAATATACGACGGTCTCCATGACTTCGCCGTCTTCAAGCTACCCGGTGGACAGACAGGATGTTTACAAGAGGATGTTTCGACGGCAAGAAGCACCCTGGGCAAGATTAAAGCGTTCACAGACAATTACCTGGCGACCGTCTGTTTTGCACACGATGCGACCTGGATGCAGAAGGGTTCCGAGGATGAAGTTCTGCTCTCACTGACCAACCAAAATGTCCTGGAGGCATATCGAAGCTAAAGCTGCAGGGCGATATCGGACGCGTGGCTAGCTGTGGGGTTAGAAATCGTCAAACCTCTCCTCAAGTCTGGCGGTGGGGCGATCGTCGAAGGATGGGTTCCCCCCACAATCTTTCTCTTTGTGGAATGCTTACTACACGTTCAAGATCTCCGTTCGTACTCCCCCACTTGGCCTGAGAGAGACTGCTACTGCACAAAGCCTCAGCGAGGTCTGGAATTGCCCTGCCAGTAGCCGTGACCACCTTGCCCATCAACTCGTTGATTTGATCCCACGAAAACGTTTTGAGCTACTATCACATTTTCCAACGATAGACTGACAGCAACATGCATCCGCATAGTCAGTTCATTACACATCCGTCGGGCGAAGTTACGCACTATATTGCCGACTGCCACGCGGATCCATGGAAGCCTTCTGAGACCATCCTGTTACAGGGCGGGTTCGCCCGCCACACTGCATTCTTTTATCACTGGGTGCCCGCCTTGTCTCGCCACTACAATGTAATTCGGCGTGATCTGCGCGGTCACGGCCTCTCGAGCGCGCCGTCTATACGTCAGAAGCCAGAAAGCTATAGCCTAGACATAATTCTGTCCGACATTCTAGACACGCTTGACCAGCTCGGAATCCAACGAGTCCATTTCTTCGGCGAAAGCACCTCTGGCATTCTCGGCGAGGTCTTTGCCGCACGTTACCCCGAGCGTGTGCTTAGTCTGACCATCTGCTCGAGTCCAACACACTTGACCCAAGCCACGCAAAACTTCCTGGCCATGGGGTTGACATCCTGGCCGGAAGCATGCCGAACGCTGGGCTCCCGTGGCTGGGCGCAAGCCCTATCGGAACGACCAGGCACCATGTCCTCCGACGATGCCGCATATCGGAAGTGGTGGCTTGAGCAGGTCTCTGTCAACAGCGGCGAGGGACTGGCCAGCTATGCCGAATTCCTGTGCACGATCGATTCGAGACCGTCGCTGGCCAACCTGAAGATCCCCACGTTGATTTTGGCTCCCACCAAGAGTGCGGCGACCACGGTGGCCGCGCAGAAGGAAATTCAGGCACAGATTGGCGGCAATTGCACGCTTGTTGAGATTGATGGGCCAGGGCATGAAATCTATATCGAAGTGGCCGAGCAGAGTATAGCAGCATTCTTAGACTTTCTAAGTTCCATAGAGAAGAAGGAGTAGACTGCAGGTACTAAGTGTGACATCGCTGCTTGCACGCCAACGCCATTGTGACGTGCCGACCTCTGAGGAAGGCATTATAAAGATATCTACTCAAAGCTTCGTTCTGTCACCTTCTGGCTGCGGGAGCATTATTCTATCATCGTGAAACCAATATCGAATCCTAGATTGACAGCACGCAGGAGAAACAAACCAGCATAAGTAGCACAAGCTATTTCATTCCTTCACGGACATATCAAGAACAACCTTAGCACACCCACTTGAGTGAATGTCCTTTACCAGTGCGTTCAGCTCTGAGAACGGATAGGTCTTGACGCGAGCTCTAACGTTGTGTTTCACACAGAAGTCAAACATATCCCTCAGCGCCTTGTTGGATCCGATCAGGCTGCCTTCCACTCGAATGCGGCGAAATACGAGATCCGTCGCGCAGATCTTGAAGCCTTCGGGCGGGTAGGAGAGCACGACCACGAGGCCGCCGTTCTTGACCAGGTCGATTCCGTAGTTGAAGGATTTCTGGCTGTTGGGCAAGATCAAGACGGCATCCAGGCCAATCTCGCTCAGGTGTCGGCTCTTATCGTCTTCCCCCCAGCTCATCCGCCTCCTGACCTCGTCGGCAGCTTCTTTCGAGGCGTCAACGATGTCCGCGCCGGTGTGGAGGCTCCCGGCGAGCTCGAGCGCCTGTGGCGCAACGTCCACACCCGTCGTTGTCAACCCCATCTTGGTTGCGAACTGTAAGCCCAAATGTCCTAGCCCTCCGCCGCATCCCATGATGCCCACGCGTTGCCCCGGCTGGAGTTTGCACTTCACCAAAGCAGCATAGACGGTGAGGCCGGCGCACATGAGCGGCGCCACTTCCACCGCCGACATGTCTGTTGGAATGAGGACCGCCTGCCGCACATCCACGAGCGTGTATTCTTGAAATCCCCCGGGCTTGCCGATGCCCAAGCCGGCACCCGCGTATGGACAGTACACCGAGAAGCCGGGCTCGTCAGGGTCCGGGCCTGACGGGTTGCGACACTCGGCACACTGGCCGCAGGCGTGGTAGCCACGGCCCGCCACGGCGACGCGGTCACCCACCTTGAAAAGAGGGTGCGCGGTCGTAATCGATCGAGCGCCCGACAGGGCGACCACGGTGCCGGCAAACTCGTGGCCGCCGACGTGTGGGAGCGAGGGTGGATGCATTAAGCCCGCGGCCAGCACGGTGTCGGTGTGGCAGTACGAGGTGGCGTCGACGCGGACGAGCATGTCGTGCGCGTCCTCAATTTCCGGTACTGGCACCTCGCGCAGCTGGTAGGGTGCGTTGAAACCTTCCAGCACGTGCGCCTTCATTGACGTAGGGAGTGCTTGGTCCGTCATCTTGGGACGTCGTGTCGGCCTCGCGACGCACCATACCATCGGGACTCGAGCTGCTGGGCGGTATACTATTAGCACCGAAGTCCTTGATGACTCCTAAGTTGCAGTGACACCTAGAGTAGAAGGGGAGCGTTAGAGCAAGACGTAGGTTATGGTCGAAATAGATGGCTGCACCTTCGGCTTTAGATTTAGTGGACGAGCCATTGACTACTACTAGTATCGTACTTACTAGTAGTCGGGAGTACGAGACATGTGGGGTGAAGAAGATGAATGGGCTCTCCCCCCCCCACACAGCAGAGACGCAGCTCAAACAACCGTCTATGAATGACAGGTCACTCAGTGTGGTCCCCGCTCTTGTCAGGTCATTTGAGACTGTACTGTGTGGAAGAAGATCAGCAGTACTATCTCTCCCAGCGCCCAGAATTCGACGTTCTAGGTGGCCCAGCAACGAGTACGAACCCTTAGCATACAACATTGGAGATCAGGGGGCTTTCACGGCTCACTTGGTCATAGTGGGTGAAAGCCAACTCCTCCACAACCCCCTCCTGTGGCTATGTAGATAGAATGGAATCGTAACACTGCGAACTCAGATAGCACAAGCTGTATTGTAGAGGACCAGCTACATCTGAAGGAAGGGATCCAACGCTCCAAAATTGAAGCCGCCAAACGCTCGATTGGGGAATAGCTCCGCGGTAGAGTCTGTCATGGTCTGGTCAACATTGTGGGGACCGAGATCGGGGATATAGAAGTCATTCAAGCCCTCGAACCGGGGAAAGGACCTTTGCTGCTGCTGCTGCATGTTCTGGAAGCCATTCATCAGATGGGGGAGATACGACGGCTGCCCCTGGGAATTCTCGGGAAGCCGATCGGGAAGCCGATGCCGGGATGTATTTGCTACATCCGTGAGAGTGCCGTACGCCATGGTTACCGGCATGATCAACTCAAAGTATTGCCGGCATTGAATCAGTGTTAGGTCAATGTCGCCGAAGGAACGAAGCAGCGCCATGCCCTTCTCGATGGCAAGCATGATGTCGTTCTCACCCGGAGTTGGCACCAGACTTCTCCTTCCTTGCACCGCAAAGAGCGTTGCCAAAGTCGTAAAAATGACTGCATTGAGCCTTGTCAGCACACATAGTCGTTGGGAAGTCAGATTTCCCATGCTTACACTGAAGGAGAAGCCACCACGGTCCTATGCTATTCTGTTGATAATGATCCTGAACCAGGCCGACCAACTCGCAAGAACATTGGATGCACTGCTGGATGCTGGCTGTCAAAATCGATTGTAAGAAACCGTCGCTCCCTCCCAGGTAGTCTTGGTTGTTGTCAAGCTTCAAAGCAGAGATCATATTTGGTCGGTGTATCAGAAGCCGGGTGTGTAGATACCGAGCCTGCAAGCTTTTTTGCTGTTTGCGAAGCTTCGGACTGCTGTTGATGTAGTCGAACTGAAGGTGCTGGGGAAGCTCTTCCAGCCAGCCAGCCAGCTTGCTCTCCTGCTCTAGGGCGGCTGACAACTGGGTATAGATAACAGCTGTTGCATCAGTCTTGATACTCTTACTATCGGTCTGCCTCTTAGACGGCTTCCAAGGGGCATTGGTGGAACTAGATGACAGTGCTGTCTCGGATATATGGATCAGCTGCATCAAATGATTGAAAAAGTGAAGCTGCGAAGGCGGCCGCCTCGGGTCCTGCGACTCTGCAATACCGTGAGGCAGGATAAGGTCATCATCCACGGCGGCCGGCCGAGCCGAGTGACCAGCCTCAATGTTTAGAGCTGGTGGTCGACAGTGCTTCAAACTGATGAATCTGGGCGGTCTTTAGAGGTTTCCAAGGAATAGGGATGGCACTCACCGGTCAAGAGAATATATTGACCACCAAAATCTCTTGCGCAGTTCCTTTTCGATCATATTGATCTTCCACTCTGACGGGTCCAGATGGAGATTGAGTGCTTGTGCTGTTCTGACCAGTAGCCCGGTGTTGACCCACATCCGATGGAACTGCATGCTACTGTTCAGGTGTAGAGTTACCAGAAGGAGTGCTTGGACGACTTCGAGCGATGCCAGCTCGTAACACACAAGCAGGATTAAATCAGTGGCTCGTTCGTGGAACTCTTGGGCCAGTTCATAAGTTCGCTTCAGCTCAAGATCAAGGTAGTCACAGCCATAGGCAAAGACGACATTAATGATGCTGCGAAACGCTATGCTCGCTGATTGATGGCCCTCGTAAAGAGCTTCCAGTTCCTTTCGAAAACTAGGCTCATGAACGAGTGGCAGAAGCGGTGCAACATGGTCGAAGAACAAGTCAGCCAGCCGAAGCGCCAGCGAGCGTGGTGGGAGAACAAAACAGTTATCGTCCATGGGCTGGTGCTCTTCGCGGATATCCACGTCCGCGTCCCTACTTGAAAAGTCATGTTCTGGCACCTCGGTAGACACTGTTTGGGTCACTTCGGAGGGGGATGTTCCAGACGGCGCGACACCAAAATCGGCCAATGCTGAGTGTATTGAGATCTCTCCTGGTGTGCTCGTTAGCATTCCTCAACGAGCTGACACATTTTAGGCTCACCTCACCGTATTTGATGATTTTGACGAGATCGTGGTCCTTCTCGAGCAACGTATTGCTGGCATCTGAGGGGACGGGCTGCAACTTTTCCACCCGAGTAGCCCGCGGACGAGCCTGAGGATTTCGCCAACGAAAGTCCTGGATTAGAGACTCGTCGGTCTGTGGACGCATTGGAGGCGATTCGAAGCTCGATTCTGTCCCCCTTTGCCGGAGTTCTTGTTCAAGCCTTCGCACTTTCTGCTCCAGCGTCTCGACATAGCTGCAACGTTAGATACGTCGAGTCGTCATTATCCTTCTGCGTAGACTACTCACCCTCTATCGACGCCTGCATTCTTGATGGCATCATCATAAACGCATCGCAGGCTTCTCCGGTTGCAGAAGCCACACGCCGGGCGCGAGCCGTCGCATTTGTTCTTACGCTTTCGGCAGGTGAGACATGCCTGTCCTGAGCGCAGACGATCTATCCCACCATCGTAGAATGGTGGAGGTTGCCCGTCCATGTTCGACGCTTTGATTTCACATCATTTGGGACAGTTTTGAAGGGCTGGACGAAATGGCGACGCGGGGCGGCGAATTCTAAGGGTATAAAAAGAAAGCATCTTAGGCGAGCGGATTCTGGGCACTGTACTTTGTTGCGGTGGGCGGCCACTACGCATTCGCAGCAATACCCCGCACCCCGCACCCCAGACGCGCCAGCTCTACCCAGCCCAGTCAGGCTCAGCAGCCCGGAAACATTATGGGCCGCTATTTGCCACAAGACAATCACGGCCGCAAAAGGTTCATCTTTACATTTGAATGAATGCTGTATCTTGTGCACTAACACTTTGGCATATGCCAACCAAGGAGAGCCATGCATCTAGTGCTACCAACACCGTACAATGCATGCTGGTCGCCATGGACCGCCGACTACAGGCTGGCGCGCAGTTTCGTCGTTCCCTTCAGCCATTGGCTCGCCTTATCCACCTTAAAGTCATAGACTCTGTGATTTTGTCCTGGAGGAGGTACATTTGTCGGAGTATACTCTGTACCATGCTTGATAGAACTCGCTGCCGCGTCGAATTCCTCGTACGCATACCGCTGAGGGTCGTGACCAAATAGCCAGTCGGGCAGTGGCATGGACAGAGATTGAGGGTTTTTCTTCGCCTGCTCCCAATCGGTTTTGTGCCAGATCTCTCTCGTCTCTTTACCAATCTGTTGTGCTAGTGACGCTCGAGCGTATCTGAGAACCAGTCAGACTTCTTGGGCCTCTTCCATCTCTGTACACGGGGCAACTTACCGGAGTTTCTCGCATGTGCACAAAGCCAAAGGCACATCTGCTTTACCGGCAAGCTCAAGGCATATGGCAATGGTCGCCCCGTCTTCAATCGCCTGACCGGCCCCCTGCGCACTGGTTGGTAAGAACGGATGCGCCGAGTCCCCAATCAAAATGATCCTGGCATGGTTTGAAACCCATTTTGGTAATGGATCTCGCCAGGCGAGCTTGTAATCAACCAGCTGCGACTTCGGGGTGGCCATGACAACATCACGTATACGCTCGTTCCAACCTTGGACATAGCCCAGCACATCCTCCCTCTTGCCGGGAAATGACCAGGACTCGGCCACGTTATCGTACTCGTCCTTGTGGGTAATGTTCCAGACCACGCCCTTCATGCCGGAGCAGGTGCCCAGGATGCAGTGCATATCCTGTCCAATGTATGTCTCCATCTTGTCAGAATCACCCTCAAACATCCAGGACAGCTTTTCATCCTTCTTTGCCTCGTCCGCATCGAACCATGCTCGATAGGTTGCATAGCCGGTGGGATATGGTCGATCGTCAATGCCAACCACAAAACTGCGGGCTTTCGAGTGTACACCATCGCAGGCGATGACACAGTCGGCCGTGATCCTTTGGCCCTCGACCACGACTCCAGCTTCGTCCTCCGTCTCAAAATAGTCTTGAATGCGCTTGCCAAAGTGGACAGGCACGCCGAGATCTTTTAGATGGTTCGCAAGGATGATCGCCATGGGGCCACGGGGAGCGGTATACCCCGTCCCCGCGTTGTATCCAACCATGGGTTGAGAGTACAGAATGTCGCCGGTGTCGTATCTTCGGATATTGTTTGCTTGCCAGGAGGAGAGGATAGGTTCGAGCTCGCGGTGAACGCTGCCGTTGCCCCATTTGGCCACGACTTGTGCAGCGTTGCCGGTGATGCCAATGATGTCGCCCAGTTGTGTGATGCCGGGAAACTGTTCGTACACAACCACATCGTGGCCTTTGCGATGACATTCAACGGCGGCCGCAGCTCCAGAGTAGCCCAGCCCAACGATGATGACTTTGACCCCGCTCGACCGCGGGTAGACAACACCGTCCGGGCCTGCACCCTTCGTTTTGCGACTCTTCTGAGCCATTGTGTACACCCAAACGTTGGAATGCGAGGGAACTCACTCGCGATACTCAGCTAAATGGTTCTCTCAATTTGACCATCGACAGGCACACAACCCCACAGAACTCTGCAACATCGACTAGGTTCCGTCTGGGCAACATCTCTTCGGCCTCAAGGCATATGCCTCACGTAAGACATGCGGAGGTCGTTCGTTCCTTCTTGCCACCAAGAAGTGCACCCGTTGCCGATGGCATCCCGAAAATATGGATGTGGAGCATACTGGTATCGTTTCGAAGCCTGGACCTTTGAGACCGGGGCCCACTCCGAAGAAAGGGGGGCCTGGGGTCGCGGCGCCGCTCCGAAGGCATATCCACATCGCCTGTCCAATAGGAAACCATAAAGCGGACTATTATGCCACAACTACTCCGCGAGAGCCTCAGCCAATAGGCACTTCGAGTGCCGTTCGAGAACCAAGTAAGTGTATCCTTCCCAGACCCGTCTCGAGCTCCTGTTTCTCTTCTGGATGTTACGAGCTAGGCCCCAATTGTCGATAGAATCAACTTGAGCTTTGATTCGCTTACTAAGCATTCTCGTCTCGACAAGTCATTGTTCAATACCGCAGCCATGTCACTGCTCGCCAGCCTCGTGGGCAACATTGCATCTGAAGGAGAAAGGTTAGAGAGTTTCCTCGGTAACGACTCGCCCTCGCTATGTGAGACCACAGGGTGGAAGTACGATGAAGAGCTGCTGCCTCGTGAGGCGTGGGAGGCATCGCAATCCTTGTTGAGCGACTGCCAACAACTGATTGCCCTCCTTATGCCCAAGAAGCTGAAATTGATGTATGAAAGTATATCGAACAACGCGGCAGTGGCTTTGGGAGTAGCGTGTGACCTCAAGGTCGCTGAAAAGATCGCCGAAAATGGCGGAGAAATCAAACTGTCGGAGCTGGCGAAGGTCTGTGAAACGAACCACCATAAACTGGGTAAAGTCCCACATCGACCACAACAGTGTTGGGTGTTAACGTTACTCGTCCAGGGTGTACCATGCGAGTCCTCACCCACCGTCATATTTTCACCGAGGTTGCTCCAGAAGTATTCCGAAACAACCGCCACAGTACAGAACTGATATCTGGGAACGGGGCAAGAGAATGCTGCTTGCTCGAGTATGTGATGATAAGATTGATCATGCTGTGTTACTTACTAAAGATATCTACCACAGGACCCAACATGCTTATAAGGCAGGACCAGCGTGGCTCAACACCATGAAGGACCCAAAGAGGATGCACAGCATTGACGCAGAAGACGGCGCATTCGCGGAAGTCTTCGGCAAAGGTATTCTCGAATACATCTTTACACCAGAGGCTGAGACGTGTATGACCAACATGACCCTCGGAGTCCCATGGATGTCGACGATTACCGTGGCAGCCACACGAGCCGACCTACCCTGGGATAGCTACGGATCAACAGTCTGTGACGTTGGCGCTGGCCTCGGTAGTGTGATGCTGGAGGTCAAAAAGGCGTTCCCATCGTTGAATGTGATATGTCAAGAGTTGGAGCCTATGATTCCTGTCATGCAGAAGGTGATTAGTCCCCGTATGCTCTAACATCTTTTTCTGACCCCCATAGACTTTCGCAGGCTACGAGAACGAAATGGAAAGAGGAGAAATCAAACTTGAAGTGCACGACTACTTCACTCCACAGGAGACTGTGGCAGACGTGTACTGGTTGCGCGGTGTTATGTGAGAGAATTCTGTCCCAACACCGATGATGAATGCTGAACTGAACTCTTGTAGCCGAGAATACGAGGACGATGTTGCCGCGAAAGTGCTCGCGAACTTGAAGCCGGCGATGACGAAGAACCCGAACGCGAGGGTCTTTGTGAACGAGTTATTCATTCCCCAGCTGATCACACCCGACCAAGCCGGGAACACAGCGGCATCCCTCAATACATCCAAAGAACAATCTGGATGGCCGATGGTCACTCAGATGCAGCAACTGGGTGGCCAGCAACTCTTCAGTGGCAAGGAACGGACCTTTGAAGAGATCAGGAACATTGGTGAAATGGCAGGCTTGAAGTTTGTCAAGTATCACAGATTCAGGATGTTCACCGGGGTTGCCGAGTTTAAATTTCTGTCGAGTCCGAAGTTGTGAATAGAATCAATGGACACAGCTAATTCAACATCAGAGAAAATCTTTCTCCGGCTCTGCGAATAGACGTTGAACGGGTCCATTTTTAAAAAAAGAAAGAAAACATTTCTGTCAATCGTATACCACAAAACTCTTGCCATCCTGCTTCAACATATCCTCCATTGTCCAATCTTTATGGCGATAACCCTCAGGCACATTCTTGGGGTAGAACTCGCGGCCATGCTTGAGACATTCAACGACCTCGTCGAAGGCTTCATATGCATACGCTTCGGGGTCACCTCCAAATAGCCAGTAGGGTTGCCTGAACTTGAGAATCGTGGGGTCTTTCTTGACCGCGTCCCAGTCCGTTTGATGCCACAGATGACGCAGCTCCCAACCCATTCTTTGTGTCAAGTTGGTGCGCGAGAAGCTGATCCTGGTCAGTGGGAGTGATACACCGAAACAATTATCGTGGTAACTCACCGAAGCTTCTCATATACACGCAGACCAAGAGCGATATCACCCTTGCCCGCGCGGTCGATAACCGCTCCGATGGTGGCACCGTCTTCGATAGCTTGTGCCGCCCCCTGGCCGGAGCTGGGAAGATGAGGATGCGCAGAGTCGCCGACCAGAGCGATCCGGCCATGCTCAGAGACCCACGACGATGCAGGGTCCCTCCACAGCAATTTCCAATCGATCAGCTTCTCTTGCGGTATCGACTCGAAGATCGATCTCAACTTGTCGTCCCAGCCGTCAACCACCTTAAGCAGGTCCTCCTTTCGGCCGGGAAAGCTCCACGACTCCTCGGCCGTGTACGTATCCTGCCATGGCCGGTTTAGCACACCCGAGGACACATGGGTAAAGAGAGGGATTGCCTTTTATTGGCGCTTACCTTGTGCGTACAGAAACATGCCACCCACTGTAGCTTCACATTGGTCATGACGAGAGCATGGACATCATGGCCTATCCACGTCCAATATCGATCTTCCGTTGCGTTTATGATGTCGTGCAGCTGAGGAATGTTTGGCAATGCTGACACTGGGAACCAGCACCGATATGCGGCAAAGCCACTCGACCGCGAATTCTCAGGATTCTTGTTGACCAGCGCTCGCGCTTTACTGTGAACGCCGTCTGCTGCGATGACGGCGTCGGCAGTGACCCTTCTCTTCTCTGCATAGACACCTGCCTCGTTCTCATTTTCGAAATAGTGAGATATTCGCATGCCGAAGTGAACCTTGATACCGATCGACGTCGCATAGTCATAGATCACCTTGTGCGCCCTGCCACGGCTGGGGTACAAGATGGGAAAGTCGTCGTAGTGAGAGGGTAAGACCTGTTTGATGAGGAGGTGCCCGTGGGAGTCCTGGCACTCGAGGAATTTCGGTCGAGCCGAGTCTTCAGCGACCTTCTGTAGTACATCGCCCCATTTGGCCAGACTCTTGGTCGCATTTGAGGGGATTTGGATGGTGTCACCTGAAGTTCCACCCCGTCAGTAACATAGTTCCTGCTGTAATCCGCAACGTCTCCTGTGCGGTGGTGTAGGTGGCAGACCTTGTTCGGTGAGTGCTTTTGTGCTCTCGTAAACCACTACAGCAGCCCCTTTGCGACGCAATTCGATGGCTGCGGTGAGACCGCCAAATCCCGCCCCAACTACTATCACTTTGACATCTTTGATATTCCCCATGACTAAACTGCTGACGAGATCTCTTACACCGTAGTGTTCTTACACCCTAGTGTTACGTCGGAAGGGGTCAGATGTATAATGCTGAAATGTATGTGGTCTTCAAGGCTTGCTTATTAAGGTTGTACGATTGGCAATCTATCCCTAGCGACTCAATCTGTCTATAAGGCCGGCTGTGACAGGCACAAGCTAAAATTGTTTCAATGTTTCTATGTGAGCTATGAGCTCTGCATGTCGTTGAGACTGGATGTGGAGGAAACGTGTGGGGTTTTGTGGGAGGTTGTGTGGGGTGGGCGTACTCCTTCAGGGTTGCTGGATGACCCTTCAAAGAGCGAGCATGATTAGGACTTCTGTCCAGATCTCCTTCAGCTATTGGTGATCATCAAGTCTCTGAATACCAGACGGATGAGAGCAGTCATAACCTGTTCCTGTATATAGCCTAACTCGCACAGGGGAGCCTTATCCCGTATCAAGGACCTCGTGTTGGGATCAAAAGTTCTCTTACGAACAAACATACTGCAGTCGCGATGGTAGTGAACAAGAAGACGCTCGTGGTAGTCGGTGCCACGGGCATGCAAGGAGGATCAGTCGTTGATGCCTTTCTCGACCTGCCAGAGTGGAACATTCGAGGTATTACACGCTCCATCTCGTCGCCGAAAGCGAGAAACCTATCAACTCGCGGCGTAGAGATGGTCGAAGCGAATCTTGACGATATGGACTCCCTCATCCGTGCTTTCAGCGGAGCCAATGTCATATTCGGCGTGACAGACTTTTGGAAGCCATTGAGTGACCCGGCTCTGACGAAATTTCGCAAGCCAGGACAGAAGCTCAGCCACTGGGCATATGAGTATGAACTACAGCAAGGGAAACGTATTTTCGATGCGGCAGCCACAATCGGCACATTGGAACGGCTGGTCTTTTCGACCACTCAAGACGTGGCCAAAGACAGTGAGGGCAAGTACACTCGCGCATATCACGCAGACTCGAAAGCGCACGCAGAGCAGTACGGACGACAGACGTATCCCGACCTCTGGTCCAAGACAAGCACGATCCAGGTGGGAATGTACCTGTCAAATTTTGCAGAGCTTGCCACCGAGATGCCTCAAATGGTAAACAAGACCCACGTCAGCTCTAGCGAGAAGATGGGCTGACGCAGCACGCAGGAAGAGGATGGATCATTTAGCTTTATTAACCAGTTCAGCGCCGACACATTCTTGCCCCTGATTGCGGCAGACCAGGACACCGGGCCGCTGGTGAAAGCATTACTTAATGAGCCTCCAGGTACGAAAGCCATGGGTTACCGAGCGTGGATGAGATTCGGAGAATTTATTGAAGTCTGGTCTCGCGCCCTCGGGGTCACGGCCCGTGTCGTCACGCTGCCGATCAAAAAAATCTTGGATCGGTCGGGCGGTTTGGAGCCTGACATCCGTGAGATGTTGGCGGAAGGCATGGCAAACATGGCAGAATTCGGCTATAAGTTACGAGAGAACCCAGTTCTGACACAACCTCACCAAGTAAGTCATCGTCGATTAGGGGCACGGGCACGGAAGCAGCCACTGATTCTGTGCTAGCTGCAGTCTTTGCCTCCATTAGACAGTATAGAAGATTGGATCAAGAACCAAGACTGGTCAGCAGTACTGGACGGTCGGTAAAGGTGGTATTACTAGTTCCTACTACTAGCAGTTTGAATTCAACTACGTTTGACATCGGATTTACGATCGTCTCCCAAAGCGCGCATATAAATTCTAAACTGCAGTTCTAAGGTCCCCTCCCCATAGTCATAATGCTATATTGATCCGGACAAATAGGAAGTATGTGGCTCACATATACGGCCAATGTGGAGCACCTGGATGTGCATCCCGCTGGGACACCTCCGAAGGACTGAAGTAGATCAAGTATAAGTATGCTGCATGCACCCAGAGTTTCTACTTTGAAAACCTTCGTCGATTGTAGCTTCTACATCCAGTAAAAAGCACAACGTGGTTTCGCATATATTCTTTCCACGCAACTGAACAACTCTAGCATCAACCAGGCCCGGTCTACTGGTACTACCGGACCCACAGCCATCATGGGCAGCGCAAATGGATCAAAATGGATGGATGAGGTACACAGAACGCTAACCTTCATTTGAAATCACTCTAACATCCTAGGCCAACCTGACCACGATCAAGGCAGTGCATGAGAGCCTGGGGATGCCTGTGAGCAAGGTAAGCCAACTATCTGTACCTATCCTCTGCCGCCATTGAGGTCTATGGAGAGATATGCGCAATACAACCCGAACACAGAACACTGACGACCTGTCTCAGTACCACAACCCCGACCTCGAAAAAGAAGAACAAGAGATATTGGAGCACTACAAGGAATGGTTCCGCTTCAACCACACCGACTTCGGCAACAAAGAGCGAGCCAAGTCGTTCTACGACGTGCCAGAAACTATGTATTTCGACCTGATGAAGGTGATTCCCCGCGGCGGCTTTGCGAAACACTACGACGACATCGACGAGTACTATGACGACTCCCATCTTGCATGCCGGGACCTCGAGATTGTCGCGACGTCCCCCGAGTCTGGATACGGCACGATGGTGCAACGATACTGGGGCATCGGCTCGGACGGCAAGGAGTTTTCTTTCACGTTTCGCATGACCAGTCTGCTGAGGAAAATTGATGGCCGCTGGAAATGGATACATGAGCACGTCTCGTTTCCTGCCGATCTGGTCACCGGACAGAGCGATCTGACATGTGGCACTGGAACAACGGGCAAGCCTACCTAGTATTAGTATGTAACTTGGTGCTGAACCCATCTTGTACAAGTCGAAATCAGCGCAGCGAGCCCTCTGATTGAACACTTCTATTGCATGCCTTATGCCGAAAATGTCCAATATTTCAGAAAACCTTTCTTCTCGCTAGCATCGAGATCTCGGAATGATGGTGGGTTGGTTCTCACCCCACAGCCTCGGCCATACAAATCAATAGTAGCTTGAAGACACACATTTTTGACATGCATTAGCTAGTAGTACGCAACATATGTCATACAGGAGACACCTGCTCTAGGAGAGGCGGTAAGCTGCTGTTGATTCGACACAAGGCTGTGGAGCAGACTCAGTGGCTGATCGGCGCGATACAGAATGTGGGGGTTGTGGAGGGAGTGAAATGCTCCAAATGCTTTTCCCACAAAATCTATGCTGGAGCTCCCTCTCTGGTCTGCAGCCACTTTCTGTGTTTTGCTCCGGACTAGCTTGGTACGTGATTTGATTTAGCACCATTTAGGCGATCTTCTGCTACCGTACATGTCCCTTTATGTGGCTCTGGTGAACGCTTCCCCAAGTGAGACAGGACTAGAAAAAGAGTGTGGCACTGAAGGGCTCGGATGGGCCGATGCCTGTACTCCTGAATGCAACTACAACCCACTGCCCCACGATGGCCTAGCCTCTTAGCCTGTACTAACGTTTCAAGGTAAGCTACAGTACCTAGTAGTTCGTGAGAATAGCCAAGAAACCACCACCTCTACAAATGCTTCTTGTCACACACTTACCTCTCTCGACCTTTACCAACAAATCTTCAATCACACAGTATTGCTTTCAAACCTGCTGCGTGACCATGGCTGGGGGTTCCTTTAGTACAGTCTGGACGGTTGTTCAATCGACCAGTACCGGACAATGGGTTGCCATCATCGCCACGATGCCGATCGCATTCTTGCTCCTACTCTATCTCTACGACACACCACTGAGTATCAAAGTATGATTTTGGGTCTTACGCAACGTGTGTGACAAGATTTTGACGGCTTGTAGGACTCCAGACGCCGTCACCTCCCGCCTGGTCCAAAAGGTCTCCCATTCCTTGGGAATCTCTTGGACCTCGCAGACACGGAGAAGGTCAGAGAAAAGGCTGTAGAATGGCATCAGAAACACGGTGATATATTCTATACCAAGATCGCAGGGGCTGACTACATCTGGCTTTCATCACCACGCGTGGTGAAAGACCTGATGGACAAGAAATCGGCGATATACTCCTCGAGAGCGCCATCTCCCATGGCTGCAGACACCGTCAGCGGAGGTCGGCGACAGCTGTTCATGCAGTATGGTCCGCAATGGCGCCAGCTGCGCAGGTACAGTCACGCCTTACTCAACGCCAACTCGGCCATCAAATACCAGCCGATCCAGGATTTCGAGTCGAAGCAGCTGATGACCGAGCTCCTGGACACGCCCGAGAACTTCTACAAGCATAACAGGAGATACAGCGCATCGGTCATCATGAAGCTGACATACGGCTACCGGCTGCCGACGTGGGACCACCCCATGGTCCAGCGCATCTATAAGGTCCTCGATAACTTCACCAACGTGTCAGCCCCGGGAGCATTCGTGGTCGACAGTATTCCGTCACTGGCAATGCTGCCGCAATTCTTGATGGGAAACTGGAGGGCCAAGGGCCAGAAGATGTTCGCGCACGACAGTCGAGTCTACATGGACCTATGGGAGAATCTCAAGAAGGAAGTCGAGAACGGGACGGCCGAGGAGTGTTTCTGCAAGGACTTTCTTACCAACGACCCAGCCAAGTACAACATCGACGATCTACAAGCAGCTTACACATGTGGCGGGCTGATCGAGGCTGGCTCCGAAACAACGGGTACCACCCTGAACAATTTTCTGCTGTGCATGGTGCTGCATCCAGACGCAGTTAAAAAGGCCCAGCAAGAAATCGATCGTGTGATCGGATCGAGCAGGCTGCCGGCTTGGGAGGATGAGAAAGACCTTCCCTATGTCCGGGCTCTGGTGAAGGAGGTGCTCCGCTGGAGACCGGTCAACAAGTTCGGAATGCCACACGCGACGAGCGAAGATGACTGGTACCATGACTATTTCATCCCCAAGGGCTCAGTCGTAATGCTCAACTGGTGGTAAGTATGTTCGCCAAGCATTCTCTCCCCACTGACACCACACGTCAGGGCCATTCACATGGACGCGCAACTCCACGACGATCCCACAGCATTCGACCCGTCCCGATACCTGGCGAGGCCACTGCCGGCGGCGGACTACATCAACATCAACGACCCGTACGAGCGAGACCACTTCACGTACGGGGCCGGCCGGCGCGTCTGTCCGGGCGTCCACGTCGCCGAACGCTCACTCTATATCAATATCGTCCGCACGCTGTGGGGGTTCGACATTGCCAAAGCCACAGACGGAACCGGCCGTGTTATCGAGCCCGACACCGAGATGGTGCCGGGTTTCCTTAGCGTGCCGAAACCCTTTGTGGCCAGTATCAGACCCCGGAGTCCACAACACCAGAAGGTCATTCGCGAGGCTTTCCGAGAGACAGAGGCACGTGGTCTCCATTTCGAGTCATGATGCTGTGCATTTAGAAAGAAAACACCGACACCTTTTGATGCTGATGTTGACATGCTAGTTGAAGTAATAGTGCACATACAGACCAACACGATTAACTAGCAACATTTGTGATTGAGTCGAGCGCACTGTCCTAACTCCTAAACCACCGTATGTGTAATCACCTACTACCTATTCACCCGAGTCACGCGTCAACAGATGCAAGATCTCAGAAAATCGACACGACTTCCACTTCCCCAATGTCTGCATCAGGTCGGCGGCGTGCAGCAAGACGCGTCGACAGGACGAGAGGCCGGGATGGTGGACAACGCCGGTGATGCTGAACGGGCCGCCGGCTATGATGAAGCGGCCGATGCGATCGATCTCGGGGTCTCTGGCGTCCGGCCCGAGGCGCACATTATTGTGATCCGCCATGCCCAGATTCCCCGTGCGCGACCAGTCGATGTCGTCGAACAACTCCAGCGGTCCGTCTTGGCCGGAAGAGGAGGAAAAGGACGTCATGGCGCGGGTTGTCGTGAGCAGGTAGAAGCTCAGAATCAGGGCCGCCTTGAAGAGGGCCACCACGGTGTGCACGCTGACGACGTCGGAGACGCGGCGATGGAAGAGCACTTTGAAGACCTGTGCTGCGTGGACGACGGCGCGTCGCGCAGTCGGTGTGGTGGCCCAGCGCGCGATGGTTTGTAGCGCCGTCGGAACGGCTGTTGGTCCGCGGCGGCCGGCCGCGTCTTCGAACAGTTGTACGTTCGCGGTCAGCATGAGGCAGCATACATGCCATGTGATAACGCCGTTAATGTCGATTTGCTGTAGCGCGTTGGAGCCGCTGGTCGATGGCAGTGAGCTGAGATGGTGGGCCAGAGTGGACGCAGTTGTTGTATCTGCTGGTCTCGTGTGCATCCGCCACGGCTCCAGGCACGGGCTCTTACCGTGTTGATTGCTGGATGTGATTAAAAGATGGTTGGATTCGTATGTCAGATGCTGGAGGTATGTTAGCATGGCGGGTAAGGACGTAGAATGTAGATCCATTGCGGATGAGTCTAGAGATACGGCTACGCAGAGTGGAGTTGCTAGCCTGCCGGTTTGAGATAGGCGTAGCCAGTCGTCAGCGGTAGGGGCGTGAAAGAGCCTGTCGTCGGACGGCGGCAGTAATTGGATGTTGTCCGAACGGACCACGGGATGGGTTGAGAAATAGTCGGAACACCAATCATCGATCTCGATGAGCCCGATGACCAGGCTACTCTGAGATTCAGCATGAGGCGCCGCCAACCAGCTAAGCATCTCGAAACGAACCGTTTAATGCATTCGAACTTGGCCCACGTGTGCCACCGTTCCTCCCGGTCGGATATTCCCTCCAGGATTTCTTTGGGAGAGATAGCATCGTTTGGAGAGAATACGCCGTGCCATTGAGCCAACTAGGTGACGTGTTCAGTCAGTCGGAATGCTGGCGGACTCGTCGGTTGCTTACGGAAATCAGATTAATGTAGAGCATTTCGGCTTCCGCCATGAATCGTGGATTTTGCTGGAATCAATGATCGTGTCAGTGCGAAACCATTGACTTGCGCCCGTGGGATGTATGTCTGCCTCAGGGTGCTTACTCCGGCGATCAGAGCCAAGTTCAGCGTCAGCAGTGCTGTGACCAGTACTGTCAGTGTTTCGGCTGGAGAATCCCTCCCGGCCGCGGTCGACTGGAGCTCTGTGGACACAAGCTGAACCAACGTCTGATGCCACTTTCAGTAATGCTCGGCAAAGACCACGCGCGGGGGAGCTGAACATACCGGAAAGCAATTGGAAACCAGTTCCGTGGTGCTGGGTGTACCCAAGATACTGAAGCCAAGCAGGCAAATGACGAAAAGCAACGGAAAAGGTGCCCCTTGCGCGGAGAAGGTGGGTAGATGGAGGACCGGCAAGGCTGGATGAAACTGGTGGAAATAGACCTCGAGCGCGACTTCACAAGTTTCTGTCGGAGGGAATACTATCTCCCCCGTTCTGTAAGACACACAGTGGTACGATCGGGATCCGTGCTCAGCGTCGGAAGAATCGAGAGACTGCGGAGTGTGAACGCCCTCGTGGTGAGTCAGGCTGTTGAGCGTGAGCTGCATGTGTTGGCGGCAGTCATCGCCGAAACCCCATCTTGATACTCGATTCTGCGCGCCCTCAGGGCTCGACACTTTATCATCGACTTCTTTGCAGTAGATATTGATGCCCTTTGAGAGCGCCAAGTCGTGCCAAAGAGTGGTCATCAGGCGAATATTTCTACTCGAGCGCGAGTGCCAGTGGGACTGAATCTCTTCGAATCTCTGATTCGACCCGGAACGCGTGAATTCATCGCTGGCGTCCAGGTTTCCGGATAGCGGACAGTTTGCTTCTGGGCTGAACGGTCTCAAGCTGGATAGATCGGTTAATGTAGGGAGCGGCAAGCCGGTCCAGATGTCTGGTAATGGGCCGATTGAGCCAGGGTCGTACTGAAAGTGCCACATATCTCCCATTTCTGTCGATATGTCCATTGCCAGGCCGCGGATCTGAGTCTCTGTTGCAAAGCGATGCACCACGTCTACCTCATCAGTGAACGGATTGTTTTGTCCGCGGCGACTGAATGGCATGAGCACAGGCGAAGCAATGCTGCCACTCGTTGCGAATGCCGCAAGCTCGAACTGTTGATCCTGCGGAGTATTAGTATGTCGAGCGTCCGAAGCGGCGTTGCTCGCGATAACTGCAGCCCGTGCCGGCGTCATCGAGCTCTGTGGTTGCTGCATCCCTTTGGACCGATTACAATCCACGATATTAAACTGTACTTGCCGTGGCATTTGTCGATCAGCTCTAGAGGGTGCTTCGTCATCATCTTCATTTGCCGTTGGGATGGTCCTGGCGCCTCTAGCTGACGTCGAAGATGAGGTTGAATCTTCCAATTGATGCTTCTCCGGTGCGAACGCGACAGCGCCAGTGATACCTTGCGACGCTGAATCAGCAGAGTCTCGTAAGTGTGGGCCCAGCTCATAATGCTTGTTCGAGGCGGCGGCGTTCTTTTCTCGACGGGATCTCGGGTGATTCTTTTGGTGCCGGCGAAGGACATCGCTGTAGAATGCGTTAGTCAATTTTTGACTCCGGTCCCAGAGAAAAAGCCAAACCTTCTTGAAAAGCACTTGTTACATACTGAACATTGATATGGGCGCTCTTTCGTATCTGTCCACGTCAAGCTTCCGTTTCGCCATCGGCACCAGGATCACGGTGGAAGACTCACGGGATCGTTGATGACGCTTCAAATGCTCGGCCTTGGAATATGTTTGATCACACCTTCCGCATTTCACGATAGCCATGGTAGGATGTTGCTAGCACGGTGAAGTTTGCCCATTGACAGCTTGCGCGACGAAGATATCAATTATACTGCTGACTGGTCTCAATGCTGTATACCAACTGTAGTACTGCCAGGTAGCAGGAGCGATCTAGAAACCACGCATTAGCTGGTGAGTGAAGCAGCTTCGAAAGAGACAGATGTGAAGATACCCAGTACGTGATTTACTCGTTGAGTGTCTTGCAACGATCCTAGCTTTCTCTGTTTAACAACACATCCGCGAATATGCCCCGCAACGGATTGCCTCCGTCAGCTTTGGTAGGGCATGTATAGCTATTCCGGGGGCCAATGGGTCGAAAATCTTAGCTTTTGGGGGAGGGCTAGGCGTGCGGGGCTCCTCCAGCTTTTTCGCTACCAGCGTCACAAGCCCCGGGGTTGACTTAGGCCAGATTACAGGGCTAGAATCGTTTTTGTTCTGCCTGCTCGGCGTATGGTACTTCTATACTATCCAACTACTAGGGTGTCTACAACGATAGCTCCAACATCATGTTTACAAGGACGCCTTCACGGGTGCCACAACATTGCGGTCCTCTAGAAAACACTCAATCATCCTATGATACATCTTGGGATCTTGGATGAAGGTCAAGTGGCCGGCACTCGGCATCTTGAGATAGCTCGAGTTAGGGATGAACTTCGCCATGCGATCGTGCGTCGCCGGTGGGATCCATTCGTCGTGATCGCCTGTCACAATCCAGACAATGGGCGCTTCTCTGGTATCCCCCCGAATGGGGAGGTGTTTGAATGTCTCCTCCGTCCAGATGGGCTCTCTGGTCCACATCTTCATCCACGCCCCCAGGAAGTCGTCCCATTTCTCTCCCGGGTGTGATTCTTCCCACTCGCGCTGCACTCGTGCAAAGAACTCACCCACCATGGGAATTTGCATCACTTTCTCGGCATCAGCTTTCCGATAGTCGTCGAGGGCCGAGTAGCAGAATGCGCGGTCGACCCGGTGATGCTGGCCGTACGCAAGCATCGACCACGCGACCATCGTGCCCTCCGACCAGGAGATGATGGCCACTTTGGGCACTTCCAAGACGTCCAGGACACCCGCGACGTCGGCGGCGAGCTTTTCATACGACAGCTCTCGGTCGTCGAAGGGTGATCGGCCATGCCCGGGGAGATCGAGTACAATCACCGTGTGACTCGGGGACAGGAACTCGACCTGGAGCGCATTCCAGTCTGAGCTGCTCACGCCGCCGTGCATCAGCAAGATAGGGACACGTCGTGCCCGCAGGGTTCTTTCCAGCGGGACGCCAAAGACCGCCCACCACAGTCTGATGCCTCTCGCCGTCTTGGCCAGTCCTTGTTGCTTTGCTTTGGTCAGGTCTAATTTGGGTGTCGGTGGGAACACGTCCCATGGCAGAATCTCTTGAGGCATTTTTGGCTGGCTGTATGAAGATGAAAATGAGATTGAGAACGAGGAAAACTTACTGTGCCTCAGTCACTTCGCTGTAGTGTGCAGAATGTACTGTTTAGGCACCCGTAATTAATCCACGAAATCCCCCGCCCCTCAGGGAATTGACTTGCTAAAACTAGTACTACTCGCTCTCTCGGATGTCGAGCTTTCCACTGTCCTCCCTCCACTACGGCCACGGCTCCCATAGTCCTCCGCACCATACCCCAGACTCTTTTCCTGGGCGCCGAAGAAAGTTAGACCTTGCAGGTCCGGAGTGGGGCCGACGGCGTGGACCTGCCGGAGGGTGGCGGGCGGAGCGGGAGAGTCTGGATCGGCTAGCCTTGCCTTGCCTTCCTTCAGATCCGGGCCGTTCTTCGAAACCCCAAGTCGGACATTGATGAACAACCGAAAGTTGGGGAAAACCTCCAATGCGTAACTGGGGAAAGGCTCGTATTTCCTGTGCTGAAAGACAGAAGTCATGTGAGATTCGACTGTGGACTTGGAGCGTCGTAATTAGTCGCCCTATAGCTTCGTAGATCGTCTAAATACTAGTCGCAAGCCGGTACGGTGGCTGTAGTATAAGCACTATCGAAGACAAGAGGGGAATGCAGGTCGCTAAAGCAAGGCTCTGGAGAAGTGGGGCGTAGTAAAATCCGGACTACTGGTACTAGCAATGTGAGGAGCAGTCCAGAAACGTGGGTACCTAGTATCACATGTGCAGCCCGGTCCACGGCCTGTGCATTTACAACGCAGGACTTCAAACTTGGTCTTTCGAGGCCATTAGGAGGTGCTGGTACTGTCTCACAAACAGACAGAGCTATAGGATCCCCGACACCGCAACAGTCTTTTGCAGCTGTCAGCCTTAGATCTTTGCCTGTCTCATAACAGTTCCACCGGAGTACTGCCCGTCCTTGAAGTCGCTGACACGGTGGTCCACCTCCGGCGGGGGCACATTCGTGGGCACGTACACCGACCCGGTCCGCACTGCGTGAGCGGCCACGTCGAATTCATCGTACGCGTACCGTTGCGGGTCGTGCGCAAAGAGCCAGGCCGGGTTCGGCATCGACACCGTCTCCGGCTGCGACGTGACCGCGTCCCAGTCGGTCTTGTGCCACATATCGCGCGTCTCGACGCCCATTTTCTGAGCCAGCGACGCCCGGGCGTGCCTAGAGATTAATTTTGTTAGACGAATCACGACTCGTGGTAGTAAGAAGGTGCGTTGTCCGGTGCCATCACACTCACCGGAGTTTCTCGCAGACTTGTAACGCCAGTGGCACGTTCTTTTCTCCTGCCAATTCGAGACAGATGGCGATCGTCGCGCAGTCTTCGATGGCTTGGCCGGCGCCTTGACCTGACGTTGGTAGGAAAGGGTGGGCTGCATCCCCCAGCACGATCAGGCGATTATGCTTTGATGTCCACCGTGGCAGGGGGTCTCTCCAGGCCAACTTGTGGTCAAAGATCTGGTTTGGGGGCGTGTGCTTGATGACTTCGTGGATCCGCGAGTCCCAGCCTTTGATATACGCCAAGGCGTCCTCAATCTTACCCGGCTGCGTCCAGGACTCCGTGACGTCGAAGGTATCTTTGTGCGTGATGGTCCACATGACAAGCTTCTGTTGAGAGCAGGTCCCGAAGATGGCGTGCATGTTGGGCCCGATGTAGACTTCCATCTTGTCGTAGTCGCCCTCGAATAGGGACTGCAGCTTGGGGTTGTCGCATATCAGCTCGGCATTATACCACGCGCGATAGGCGGCGTAGCCGGTAGGATATGCACGGTCCTGCAGGCCGGTGATCGTGCCACGGGCTTTAGAGTGGATGCCGTCACAGGCCAGCACACAGTCTGCCACGACGCGCTTGTTGCTTCCCTCGAGAACGATGGCTGCGTGGTTTTCATCCTCCAGGACCTTGGACACTCTCTGGCCAAAGAAGATTGGTATCTGTAGCTGTCGACAGTGGTCCGCAAATAGCTTCATCAGCAATGGCCGGGGAGCTAGATATCCTTCGAAGCTCGAGTAGCCGGACATGGGCTGGCTGAACAGAATCTCACCGGTGTCATGCTTGTGTATGTTGTTTCTAACGTATTGACCAGCGTGCGGGATGATCTGCTCGTGGACTTTTCCCCTGTTCCATTTGGCGATGATTCTGGCAGAGTTCGGTGACAGCCCGATCATATCACCTGTTGACCGGAAACTGTCAGCGAATAGCTCCTGAGTTTGCGTTTGACGGCCACTGACCTAGTGTTGAGATGTCCGGGTTTTGTTCGTAAATTATCACTTGGTGACCTTTCCTATGACACTCGATGGCAGCAGTCACACCTGCATATCCAAGTCCTATGACGATGACTTTAATTCCACTAGAGCCGGGATAGACAATCCCATCCGGCCCGCTTCCTCGTCCTCGGTGTTTCATCCTCGACGCCGTCCAATGTGATCGTGATACAAGGTTGTAGTATTGCCGCGTGATGAAGGACTCTAGCTCACGAGTAGAGGAACAACGACTTCTGATAAACAGTCGTCCTAAGAGGTCAAACTGGTCAATGGCACCAGGTGGAGTGGGACAAAGAAGGAATGGCCTCTTCTGCGTGCTTTAGTGCTCCGGTAGAAATAAAACGAGCTCACCAGGCTCTACACTGCCAGAGGTTTGCATCCACTAGAGTCGTGGGTGGTGGAGTTGCCACCACCATGCCCCCTTGTGCCATCCGTATTACCACTTGAATTACTCCCGCCATATTTCCTTCTTAGTAATTCATACCCCCGTAGTCTAGCCGTTAATGTGGAGCCACATGGGCTGGTCACCGAGACTATGGCTGGCAGACCCCCAACTCTAGAAGACCTAGACCCGGGGTCTCGGCCTTCTCCAACATTCCCCAACGAACACACCAACCCTGACGACTGGGGAGAGCGACAAGGGAGACGCCCCGAGCGAAGCCTGGCCGCAATAGCATTGTCGTATCTGATGAATTTAGGACCAAATTTTCCTTTGATTATACGGTAAACAGAAATTCGTAAGTTGATTTTCATACAATTGAGTATAGCATATGGTAGTAGAAGCAGCCAATGGTGTCTGCAAAGCATTTATCGGGATAAACTCCTTGTAGGCAACAGTCCTACTATAATCGTCCCCGAGTCGTACCTACGTGTCCTTGAATGCTTTCTCGCGTTGCCCCCCATCATAGTCGCGAGAGAGGTGGGCACCGACCTTTAAATAGATTCCACATGCTCAGATGTCTCTCTCTGCTTATTTTCGACGTCCTGCATCGCAACGGCACGTGCGTTTTCCGCACGAACACAGTTGTAGCGCTTGAATTGGCGAGCCTTCACTTTGTCTTCGAACATTTCGTCAATCTCCTCAAGCGTGCGGTCCTTGGTCTCGGGCACGAAGAAGAAGACAAACACCAGGATGACGAGATTTGACCCGAGCCAAATGTATCCGTATTTACCACTCTGTTGGCAGTTTAGCTTCATCACCACAGGGCGATTCAAGACGGTTTTACTTACCCAGTTCAGTTCCATCGGATTCAAAAAGTACGGCGCAGTAAAGGTCGCCACCCAATTCCACAGGAAAGAGACACCAATGGCTATGCCCAGGGTGTAGCCACGTAGCCGCTGTGTCGGGATCTCGCCTGCGCAGAGGTATAGGTAGGGTGCGACGCACATATTGTAGAAGAAGAGGTATATGATGGTGAACGAGACCAGGACTCTACCCCCAATGGGACTGGTTGACAGCTTCTGAAAGACGGCGGCCACTATCAGCATGCAGACTGACTGGGCTGCGAACCCGATCATCAAGATGCTTCGTCGGCCAATGCGAGTGATCAGCCACATGGAGAAGATTGTGGCGCCCAGGCCCGCAGCTGTCATACCGACACTCTGTTCGAAGGCGTTGGTCTGCCCCGCGATGGCAAAGAAATAGGTGCCGTACACAAGGACGAACACGGCGCCCGAGCCGGTGAGACAGGTCATGATGGCCACCGAGAGCAAGGTTCGGCGGAGATTGGTTCTGCGGAAGCAGTCGAACAAGGCCACGTTGCCAGTCAGTGACTTCTCCGTCTCGAATGCGACAATCATCTCTTGTAATTCCGCTTCGAGAAACTGAGCGCTGGTATCCTTATGCCGGAGCTTGGTCAAGGCCTTTCGTGCATCAGATGTCCTGTTGTGTTCAATCAACCACCTTGGGCTTTCGGGCATGAAAGGCAAAGCGATTGACAATATAACCGGGACAATGAAGAAGATGCCGAGAGGGATCTGGTAGGATTTGGGGCTCATGATTTTCGAGGTGTAGTTGTCCACGATGGATCCAATGAGCAAGCCGATACTAACAAAAACATTAAAGCCACCCAACAGCATTCCTCGCTGGTTCGCGGGGGCCGACTCGTGGATGTAGAGCTGGGGCAGGACGTCGAGAATGCCCACGGATATGCCGATGATTATGCGACCAGCATAGAGCGTCCCGGGGTCCTTGGCCACCAACATTAGGATGACGCTGACATGGTTAACGCAGCAGCCGATGAACAGAACCCACTTTCTGCTGAGGTATTTGCCCATAGGCCCGACCGCCAGACACGCTACGAACGAGCCCACCAGCATTAGTGAGCTGATGAGCTGCTGAACAGTCGGGTCAATGCCCCAACCTAGCGCCGAAGTGTCCGTTGGGAAGCCGAAGATCATTAGAAATCCTGGCATGGCTTGAAAACCAGCAACGGCTCCAAGATCGAGACCTTTACGCCGACGTCAGCGGACCCGTGCATTAGCTGGCGACGTTCACGCAGGATACACACCTAGTTGAAAGCCACCGAGGCAGGCGACACCACAGTACAAGAAGGCGCGATAGTCGTGGAGCAGCCTGCCCTTAATCGCCGTCGACCGCGGCGGGGGAGCTTCGTCAGCCATGGCGGAAGTAGCTGTGACGGGTTCAGATTTGGACATGCTGTGTTGGAAAGGTACCTGAAGGAATCAACTGCGAAGAAGGCCGTGTCGAGTGAGGCGGGATGTTGTCGACTTTACAATGACTTCGTTCGCATAGCCTTCCTTCTGGGCCGTATATGAGAACCAGAGTTCAGGACTTTTTCCATCAGCTAGTCGCTTTGTTCCGGTCTGAACCACAAGTCTAGGCTGACGAGCCCCAACTCCCTTCTCAGAGTCTTCCTGTAGAAGTACTTTAGCCCCCGAGAATCAGGGTCGACCTAGGCCACTGAGCCGCACCCCGCGTTATCTCTTCCCCATGGGGTGGTCTCGCGGTAGGATCAGTCAATGTGGTGCTGAAAAGGCTTTTGCTTGCAAGCCGGGGTGCTCGGGCCTAGCTCAACAGCAACGGGTGTCAAGACCGAAGAGACTAGAGAACGATACTCAGCCCCACGCCGTCGGGTTGGCACTCAGATGGCGCTAGTTATCACTCAGTTGCAGGCGAGCTGGATAGATAAAACCCGGTTGACAGCTCGTACCACTGCCTGGAGTGGGACAATGACGGGGTGAAGCCGAAGTTCCTCGGAGTGGGGCCCTACGCTACTACTAGGACCTCCGCTTCCAGTGGTACGGAGTAGTGATTAGTTCCCGGTACTATCCTAACGGGTTAGCGAGATGTGGCGCTCCAGAGCTTTTTGCCCCCACATCCCGATGCTGTCAATTTGCATGATACAGTGGCCCGGGTTAGGGGACAGGTGCCATCTCTATAGGCTGGGCTATATACAGCCTTATTATTAAGCCTTGCACTACTCAACCACAAGCCTACCCTAAGCTTAATGTTTATCCGCCTGTATCTATGTACTACTCAATAGAGCCTGTGATATCGGTAATCGCTCCCACAGTCCATCCTTCCAGCAGAAGAAGGGCTCATTGTAAGAGTCACTTGGGATAGTGTGAGAGGAGCCTTGGAACGAATAGGTGTCAACTGTGATTCTCTATGTACAACGATTCAGTACTTGCAGGAGCAAGTCCAGAACCAACACGATCCTCCACGCGAGTCGCGTGGGAGATTGTGTGCCAAGTGTCTTGACCCCTGAGACCTTGGAGTCCTTGGCAATAGAGGGCCGTGGCGCCTCGTTGCCTTGTCTGGCCTCGGCAATCGTGACACTCATACCCACTACTGCACGTGTTATGATGCATCATATGCTTTCGCGCCCCACCACCCCAGCCACGAGGCAGGACTTTGTCGTATCCCCACGTTAGATCCATGCCGCTGTGGTTGTTAAGAAGAAGCCAGACGAACAGCGTCACAAACAGCAACCGGGTCAGAACGTACCCTTTATGCTTGGGGTGTGTTGGGACCAGTAGACCTGCAGACAAAGACGAGATGGTTGTCTCAAAAACTACTCTCCTAGCTTCCCATTTACGGCAGACTCGCCCATTTCTGCCAACCGTGACAATTCGAGATGACATCCCTATCTGAGGCCGGCGCTCGAAAGCCACCACAAATACCGCATGGCACATCGACGACTATCAGCGGCTTCTCAGAAACATTTTCATTTCACTCCAGCCCCGAATCGTTCATAGCGTCACGCGTTCCAGTATTTTAAGTCGAGTATCCTGAATTGGTCGACTCTCGAACGCCTGTTCGAGCCGAATACTTTATCGCAACGTGGCTGTCATTTCCTCGCACGCCCAGATATCGCACATCCTGTCTTGGACGGCGGCCGACAGCAAGGATGGCCTCGAACCGGCTTTCGCAGCTGTGCCAGCCTACATGCCACTGATGGCCGAGTTTTTTCCCAGCCCCAATATCCTTCTTACCGATGGTCCTTCTCCACATAGTCGAATGAGGGCACCATGGGAACATGGAATGGAGACTAGCGGGTCCAAGTGTAGCGAACGGCTACGTATGAACGGAAATGAGAAGCAGAAGCGTCAGTCTAAGTATGTCTGTGATCAGACAAGCTCTTGAGGCGGCGAGCGGCCTTTTCAGAGGGATTTAGGCCAGGAGGTGGCCGGAAACCATAGGTTTGTGGAGCTACGGTAAATTCAAAACCAATCTACTTCCAGATATTCTCTTGGGCACCCTCTTGGGCACCCCTCAGGCACTTTCTTAGGTACCCTCCTGGGCACCCCCGGGGCACTTTCTTAGGCATCCTCTTGGGCACCCCTGGGGCACTTTCTTGGGCACTTTCTTGGGCAC